TTAAGCCTTTAGCTTCCAACAAACAATAGAAATTGTTTTTCTTATCTGAATAAAGAACTTTTGTCTAAAACCAAAAATTAACTTTATATTTAATGAAGAAATATAAAAAAAATCTTTTCACAATTTTACTAAATACTAAAACATAGATACCTAAGAAAATAGATATTTTTTCAACTATGATTTAATAGTTAAAAAAAACAAACAGGCCACCTAAAACTGTTACAACAAAGATAATTCATCAAAAGATAATTTTTAAAAAAATGAATAGCTTTCTAATGATAGAATCTCCCATGCTGAGTAGCAAAACAGATAGATATAAACACCAAGAAAAGGTTAATGAGGTTCACAGAAGACCCAGAAAAAAATAAGAACAAAATATAATGAAAGAAATCAAGAAACATGACAATAATGGAGAGACTTAATCACTGAGTGGGAAGAATTAGCATCATAAACATAAGTTTAAAGAGTTAACTTTAGACCTAGAGAAGTCATTTAGACCTAGGCAATTCAAATCAAAGCACTAAAAAACAACTAACACCTTCCTTAGGGGGAAAAAGATTTCTTAACATTAGAAAAAAACATAAATGGGGGGAATGGGTTCAAATAGTGTTTCGTTTGCATGACAAAATATGTCGTAACTCCCCAGTGTTACAATTACCAAGGGGAATAAATAACGTTTTTGTTCAAAACCAGGGAATAAAAACACAGAGAATTGCAATGCAATGTAGTAAGCATGATGCCAGATGTGAGAATGTGACATAGCCTGGTTCTCTTGAGGAATCTGGCATTTTGAGGAATCTAATTTGCCAGGTTTTGAAGCAGGCGGAAGGAAGAAGGAATGGGAACATCACTTACAAATATAGAGGATACCAAGACAAAATGGCATAGTCCAAAACTTCCAAGTAGGTCAAGTACATACAATATCGGCCTGCATCTCAAAAACTTTTAAGTCAGTAATTAAAATTCAGAAAATTTCTCATAAGAATCTGAATTTCTGGTTTCTTTGTAAAAAACTGAACAATATGAGAAACTGGGCTAGAAGTGGCTCACACCTGCAATCCTAGCACTCTGGGAGGCCAAAGCCGGTAGATCGATCACTTGAGCTCAACAGTTTGAGACGGACCTGAGCAAGAATGAGACCCCGTCTCCACTAAAACAGAAAAAACTATTGTTGTGGTGGGTGCCTGCAGTCCCAGGTATTCAGGAGGCCAAGGCAGGATGATCCCTTGAGCCTAAGAGTTTGGGGTTGCTATGAGCTATGATGCCCCAGTACTCAACCCCAGGGTGAGAGTGAGACGCTGTCTAAAAAAAAGAAATAGAGAAAGACTGGGTCTACCTTCCCACATGGAAACCAGAGGCAGGTGTTTCCTTTAGAGCAGCAGTTCTCAACCTGTGGGTCACGACCCCTTTGGACTGTATTAAAGGTTCACGGCATTGGGAAGGTTGAAAACCACTGCTTCAGAGCCATTCACCACAGTGCTTCCTCCCTTGTCCCATTTCTCTGCCATCCACATCACTTCATCCCTTTAACTCACCCTTCTGCTCCTTGAAAGCATCTGAATTTATGACTTCTACCCAGCATGATAGGGACCAAGGAAGGTTGTAGCCAAAAATGCAAATATCATTCTGTCTGCTTTCAAAAGATCAGGCAGCCAGATGGAAACAGGCAAAGAGGAGGACGATAGGGGACTGATGAAATTCTCAAAAGCCTACTGTGTTAAAAATTAAAACAGGGCTACCATCATTGAAGTGGGACAGGGCACTTTCTACAATAAACCTAGCACCTCCTACAAAAAACTCCCACAACACATACCTTGAAAACCACTGAGTTATGCGTTCTTGAAATATATGCAGGAGGTGAAGAGGTTTTGAAACAAGGCAGTGTGAAGGGAATGGAAAGAAAGGGACAGAGAGGGATAAACATTTGAGAAGCTTGAAGGGAAAGAAATCGCTAACACTGGGTAACCAATTTGACACAAGGGACAAGGAGAAAGAAGAGTGTAGGGCAATTTGCAGGTTTTATGCAGGTTTGTGTTACTAGGCAGATGGCAGCAACATTAAAAAATAAGGAAGTAACAAGGAATAAGGAGGAAAATTAATAATTCAATTTAGGATATGTTGGACTTGCAGAGTCTATTATAGACATGGGGCTTTGCCTCATAAGCACCAATAAACCACCAAAGAAAACTCATCTCCAATTGTAATGTGATAACTCTCTAGCAGCTGAATCATGAGACAAAAATAAGATAGACAGGCATGATTGTGTAAAATATTTTTACAGAATGAATACTAACAGAACTAAGATTAAAATGGAATATTATGGAATTGGATAAAATATTGCAACTATAAGATCACAAAGGATCACTCAACTCCACATACGAAAGCATAAAGATAAGACACATAAAAAAAAA